AGGTGAATGTTGTGTGAAAGCATATACAGGCGTCTCAGGAATAAGTAAGCACGGGAGCTCAAGCAACACAGGGTGTGGCCCTCATGGGCGTCACTGCTAACATATGCTGGCCAGTGCTCCTGGAGACGGTTGTCACAGCGTTAGATACCAGATCACAACTGTTCTAGAATATGGAAGGCACAGAGGAATGTGAAATCAGAACAGCAAGGGGGACACATATTTCTATGACAATTGCTTCATTTCCCAATGCCCAGGGTCGTGGTGCAAATAGGTTTAAGGAAAAAAACTAAATGTTTGGCCTAAGAGGAAAAATATTGAACTGCTGTAAAAAAAACTTTTTGCGCTGGCAAGGGAAGATACAAAATGGCTGAACATAGTCAAAGGGCAGCCATTTCTTCATGTAATTATCTTGCAATTGTCTAACAAATGGTCAGAGACTTCAATTGAGTGCAGAGGGAATTTTCTGTAATAATAATAACAATAATAATGTTTTATTCATAAAAAGTTAACTGGGGCTCCTCAGTACAGTATCCGCACCCTGCTTGTTTACTGTACATTGCCAGTATACTGACCCACCCTAAGGCCTCGGTCACATGGGTGTAAACGCTTTGCCAAGCCAATGCCTGTTCTGTAACATAAAAGCGCACACATCCCAATGGCTGTGCATTGCTTTGCTTTCTTTCTAATGTTTGGTGAGACTTTGTGACATTTGAAAAATAAGGTAAGCAGCGTGATGCATTGCACCTCTACCTGCACATCGGCCGCACGGTACGGTGACCGGGCCCGTAGAGATCTGAATCTCTGGATGGGTCTTTTGAATACAATGTTTCAATGACGTGCCATTTTCTTTGATTATTTCCAGGCCTGATAACATGACATACTCACGTCACGTCGGGCAAAAATAAACCAAGGGCTGACTACTTATTTAAAGATGAAGAGACTGGTCTCGTTCATGTGCCATCTCTGAGAATAAACCTGGGCCCCCGGGAAAAAGGATGGGATTTGGGCATGGTACTGCGCCATTGAGACTCCACAAGCCAAGGGATTTCCTATATGTAAGGAAATACAATCATCTGCGCTACATTTATTCACCTTGGAGTTTTTATATTGCCAAATATTCGCAAATGAAAAAAATATGCAGGGGCACGGAGACCATCGTACAGGCCTCAGCGTCTTCCCAATGCTGATGTATACGGCTTTCTAATCCTAGTCTGTTGCTTGTAAATATAGATTTTAGTCCGGAACTCGATGCAAAGTCATCTATTTGTGCTCTGACCTCGACTTCTGATATGCTTAGCGCACTTGTTCACACGCTACAGACAACGTTATAGGTCAGATTTGCTCTGTTTCTCAAAGCGCGTGCAGTTTGTTGGCGTTTTTGTCATGTTCTCCAATATCTACTTCTGTGCATTCCCTCAGAACATCGGTGGGCAAACTCTGGCCCTGTTGTGGAACTACAAATCCCATGAGGCATTGCAAGATTATCACAGCCACAGGCATGGCTTACAGAAACAGATGCACGGTGGGATTTGTAGTTTCACCACAGCTGGGAGGCTGGAGTTTGCCCACCTCTGCTTCAGAGTCTGGACCTTTCTATATATTATGTATATATTTTATTTGTTCATCCAGTTCAAGAAAGGAGTGGCCCTGGGGCATTTATTGCGCATACGTCCCTATTATTTTGTGCTGTCTGTTTCTAGGGCGGTGCATCATCAATATGCGCTAGCCCTGAATGGGAGGGCACGTGCTAGGGCTTATCGACACCAGACAACCACACTGAATGTGCCTCCACTGGTGTGCGCTAGTAGGAACTGTGCTGATGTTGTTGCATTGCACAGTTTACTTTTTGTCAGAACTTTATTGAAATTACACAAGCAACAGTTCTATTCAGCACAGTGGCATTGCGACGGTCTTTGTTGCAACACGCCATGCTGAAAAAAAAAGTACTGTACTTTGTACTTTTTTCTGTGGTGTGAACTGACCTCATTGAAAAAAGGGCTTTGCCTGGTCTGTGCGTTAGGACTGCGCTGGGCGAGCATCCCAACGCATCAGGTGTTACCGTCGTCCACGGCGGGACTGAGCAGAGGCGTTGCTGCGTTCCCACATTCAGTGCCACCATGAGTGAACGTAGCCACTCTCAGAAAAGGAAGCTGCTGCTGTGGAGGATTGAACGGCCATTTTATTGATGTGCCATCCTACATTGCCATTAAAAAGGAAACCCAAGATGCTTCCAATTAAAATATTGAATATAAATATATTTCTGTAAATGTAAGTGTCTATTCATGTGCTGTCATCGACGATAACGTGAAAAACTTTCACGCTTGCCACCCCCAATACGTGTCCAGGCCCGAACCTGCGCTATGGAAGCTGCTGGTAGGCCGCAAAAACAAAACTGTAACCATAGAAACAGCTAGGGGTTCCACACGGACATCCCCGACATACATGAATGGGGAGATAATGCGTACATGTCTGCGGCCTTCTAACTTTAAGTAGAATGTGTCTTTAGGAGCAATGAAGACGCAGCACGCCATAAAGGCGGCGCAAGTGTAAAAGTGATGGTTGTGCAATTTCTGCATCAGTGCATTTTAATAATGCGCGTACACAGTCATATCAGTTGCCCATAGCAACTAAACCTGTAGACACTCGGTCGCTATTGGAGACCATGCCACTTTTGCATATGTTTTCACAGGTCGGCGGCGCCGGGGAATACGTTTGACTCTTCCTTTTACGCTTTCTTGGCGGGCTGAAGGTAAAAATTTATTTTATTCGATATTTGAACACCCTCGCAGCGGTGAAACCTTCACTGCGCTGCTTATCTGTCATCGCTCTGCGAACGTCCCATTACAGACGTTCTCGGAAAACTACAAAGCAATGAAGCAATCACGCCCGTACGGGCATGAGCATGACCGCGCTGGCAACCAGCAGCTCTTATCGGCCTGCCACGCCCTACATTCACTCACTGCAGGGCCCATGACACTTGTGAGGAGAGTGACGTACTTCTTAAGGGGGCCCTGTCACTGCACTTCACTTTATATTTTATTTAAAATCCTTGCAGTGAGGAGGAGAGCGAGTCATTTCTTATAAAGAGGACCTGTCACCACACTTCAATATGTTATCAAAACCCTTGCAATGAGGAGAGCGAGCCATTTCTTATAAAGAGGACCTGTCACCGTACTTGTATTTGCTATTGAAACCCTTGCATTGAGCAAAGCAAGCCATTTCTTATAAAGAGGACCTGTCACAATATGTTATCAAAACCCTTACGGCGAGGTGGGTGACGCACTTCTTAAAGGGGCCCTAGCATCACAGGTCGCTTTTTAATTACAGTTGAATAAATAAAATGTAGGTTTGCTTGTTGTTTTATTTCAATTTTATGTTCTGCAAGTTTAAAAAGAAATTCAACATTTTTCCGTCCTGGAGATGCAGAAATAAATGAGGGAGCAGCGGTGGCTCCATCTCTTCGTTCTGAGGTAAACACTGTCGAAAGGACACATCTCATATAATGGTGGCTCAAGACCTATTCCTTTCTTGATACATAATTTCACCATATTTATCAAGCTGCAGAAGGGTTTTTAATGAAAAGGTGAATTCCGCTGACAGGGTCCCTTTAAGACCAAAAGCGGGAAATCCTCCTCACGCTCACTGAAGGCTGCGGCCGAGTTCTAACCCCCACACACACACACACGCACGCACGCCACGCCCCCCTCCGTCTTCTCACTGGCCCCAGGGGCGGGGGCTCACATCGGCTGATTTTACGTTGCCCAATCAGAAGAAGGGAGCGGCGGCCCATTCATCCTGTGCGGCTGGGCTCGGCCGGGGAGAGGGGCGCGGCTCTGTGTGGAAGCCGGCCGGTTTTAACTGTCACTGACAGGACCGGTGTCAATTGTCCATCACTATTTAATTACCTCAACGTATAGACACCTGATAGACGACATTAATCGCCATTGTCGGTAAGATAATGAGACCATAAACGTGTATTCCCCGTCGCCTCTTTACCTCAGGCGCCTCGATTCTGCGGTTATCTGAGGATAAGCTGCTCCCCCTCGCCCCACCTACAGGGGACCCCCTATTAATGGCTGACAGCATGCCAAGCCCAATGGCGCAACCGGTTGACAATAATGGCCTGGGATAAACAGGCTTGAAGTACTACACATCCCACCGTGCCCTGCTGGGTTTGGTAGCAGCCATCCTTGCTTTATAAATCACATTAAGACTATACTGAGGCAGCTACAATCACCACAAGGCCCAGCAATGCCTGGCTTGCTGCTTTGCAGGGGACTGCCCTTGCTTTATAATAATAAATAAAGGTAACTATTACTGTTTTATATCCTCAGGCAGAACCATAAGGCCCAGCAATGCCTGGATGATACTTTTACTACAGCCCACCCTTGGCCATTGATTATAATACCAACACATACAGGAAACAACTAGCAAGCAATTCCCATTGTAGAACTACAAGTCTCAGCAAGCCCATTTGTAGGACTACAAGTCTCTGCGAGCCCTCTATTTGCAGGACTACAAGTCTTGGGCAAGCCCTCTTGTAGAGCTACAAGTGTCAGCCAGACCTCCAGTTGTAGGACTACAAGTCTCAGCCAGCCCTCCAGTTGTAGGACTACAAGTCTCAGTGAGCCATGTGGTCCCAGCTCATAATAAAATAGTTACATTGTAGCAATTAAACAGGAGGGGAGGGGGGATATCAGTGACCACTGCACTATGCTGTCCTGAGGTTGGACTACAAGCCCCAGAAATGACCGGCTGACACTTGCCATCACAGGGGAGCCCCTTCCACATTCCATTGGATGACATGCACAGGTAAAGCTGCACCTGTCCCCTGCCCCCAGGTATAATACAGTCAGGTAACGGTCTGCCTTCTTCCCTTTCACGCTCCCTACAGCGATATCCTATTTTGTAAAAGATGTCAGTTAAATGTAAATGATAAAAGCCACAGCCAGCTTCAGAGAGATATAGAGAATACATGGTCACAGACACACCCGGCTTACCTGAGATTGCTGATGTCAGATGTATGAAAAGCAGCATCAGTGCCAAAGAGGACCGGAACAGATCCATGGTAAGTAAGAATGGGATCAGACTCCTGTATCCTTGTCCCTACTTATAAAATGAAAGGCAGATCCCCTGTTGTAATGTAAGGCTTCCCCCTTCCAATATAGGAAATCAGCAAGCGAGGGGCTGCACGCTGGTTGCACACACACACGAATGGTTCAGATTGCACTGTGTTTGGGGTAGTCACCAGTGAGGTTCAATTCAATTTTTTTTTTTTTTTGCTCACTAGTGGAAGGGGGCGGGGCAAAAAAGTGGTGTGATTTTTTAAAGATGGTATTGTTACTACCCATCTGGGAGGAGCCTATAACACACGATATGACATCGTCAGTGCACTCCTATGCTGGGCAATGGAGCCAGACACACACCCTGGGGCTGAGTCATTTCCTATAGGCAGCACAGGCACTCCCACATGCATGCCTGCGTACACTGAGAGGTGATTGGAATAATAATGTGTATAGATCTGGGGTATTAGGGAAACTACGCCTCGGGACTATATATAGCAAATATTTTTTTTTATGTGTGCTAAGCAAGATGGGATTAGATCCGCATTCCCTAAACCCAACATGAATATATTTGTAACAGTGTAACCATAGACTGATATGTTGCCCGTAGCAACCAGAAGCCAAATGTCATTTTTTTTTTGCACTTTTATAGAAAAATTAATTCTTTTAATTCTATCGTTCTAATGAAAAGACTAATATACAGGATTTATAAAGCGCCAACCGTTTGCGCAGCGCTTTACAATATAAGGAGGACATTACAGTTACAATTCAAGACAAGATGGTAAGGAGGGTCCTGCCCGTGACAGCTTACAATCCAAAAGGGAGGGGCAACGATTAAAGGCAAATGAGTGCATTTGATCAATATGAAACATACCGTCTGCTCAGAGTGAATCTGTTTATGTGGCAGAAATCTTAATGGATCTCGGCAATGGACAGGGCTCTTGCGGAAGCAATCTTGGAGCAGGACGACAAGATACATTCAGAGATCAACAAATAACAATGGATCCTCCAAGCTTTAAGTTCAGGTCGATGGGCATTCTTGTCAATCACGGAGAGGGGAATTTATCACAACTGGAGCAGACGGCAGCTGTACAGGGCAACCAATCAGCTTCAGTCTCTTCAGTTAGGATTTTAAAATTAAAGAGAGAAACTGATTGGTTGCTGTGCACATTGTGCATTGTGTTCCATTGGGATACAGCCAAGTAGCCTTCGGAAACTAGCGAATCGCGGTTAAAAAAAAAGCGTGATAGTCGCGCGACAGACGCGCATATGCAATACGCCTAGGTGTGAACGAGACCTTAGAGACGTAAAAAAAAGAAGCTTTTCTGTGTGTGCTGGTGATCAACTTATCTTCACTTCAGACGCAGGTTGACAAAATCCTGTTGATTTGCATTCAGCAGTGCACATGGCAGTTCTGAGGCTGTGTTTGACCTGCTTTGCATTGCACTGTGTTTCTTTGGACGCAGTATACCCTATAGAGTTGCATTTGAGCTGCAACTAAAGCAGGTCAAACATAGTCTTTTCTTGTCACTTGCTGCTCTATTGTAGACTAGAAAACCCATGGACATGAGCTCTTAGAGGGTTAGATTAAAGTCAAAAATTATTTGCCCTCCCCCCATGTTAATGTTAGCACTTACCTTAAATGATGTCTCTTATTCCGATCTTCTTTCCTGATGTTTTCATGTGTCCCTCCAGCGGTGCGACGTCACTCCGATCAAGCGCTGACTGCTCTGTCCCTCCGATCCAGCGGTGTCTGCATGCGGGTGCACTCCTCCATAGACTTACCTTGCGTCTCTGCTCGTCTCCCGGCCGAGAATCCGAACTGCGCATGCGCCCGCCCCAAGATCCTTTGCAGCCGCACGAGCAGTTCCTGATTCTCGGCACGATAACAAGGTAAGTTTAAACCGCTGTTAAAGCGGGGGGTTTTTTTTTGTGAAACTTTTTGCCTATATCTACTGCGTTCTAGCAATAGATATAGGCAAAAAAAACGGAAGGTTTAGAACCCCTTTAAGCCCTCATTCACACGGTAATCGGCCCCCACGTACAGCTCCTTGCTGCGTGCGTATCGGGCAGCTCCTGGGAAGGACAGGTGCTGCGTTTAATTAGTACTCAGCCCCCGTCCTTTTCTATGAGAATACAGGGCCGTACGCCGCCCTGCGCTCACCCGCCCTGCATGTCCGTATGGGTGAGCATACTCGTACGCTGACAGGATGGATCCTGTCTGCACCCGAGTCAGGACACACGCACCCATACAGACCTGCACTTGAGGTGAGCGTAGGGGGGTGTACGGCCGCGTAGTCCCCTTCACTCACGGCTCTGTTTCTCCTCTGAAAAGGAAAGAAAGCTTGTGTGAGTAAATTGGAACACTCTCTCCAGCGCCACCGGACATCGCCGGTCATAGTGAGTAATGTGCACCTTCATACCAAGATGTACCAGATATTTTCCTGCAGACGAATAGAGTAGCGATGGAGGTGAGTTGAAGCTGCTATTGGTTCTAACATTAAAAAGACCATGTCACCTCGCACAATGACAGGGTCTCCTTAAAACTCAGTTCCCAGTTCATTTATACTCACCTCCACAATGCTCCTTTTTCCATCACTGCCAATGGAAAATACCTGGTGCTTCTTTGTATGGGGGAGCGTGTGTGCCTCCTTCCATGATGTGATATCGGAGCCTAGCAGCCAATTGCTAGCTCTGAACACTGACACACGATGGAGGAGGTGACATATCATTCCCTGTAAGCTCCCACACCAGCAGACACCTATTATTATATTTTAGAAGGGGGTGGATAACCTGATTTTTTTCTAGGGACCTGTTTTTTTCCCTGCTTGGCCAGGCACATGTTCACATTAAGGTTAAGGTCAAAGTACACTTATCATCACTGGTAATGGTGCTGAACAAACCGCACAACTGCTTTCCGAATCACACAAGGTGCCCCACATTTTGTTTGTGCTATGTATAAACAAGACCTATTCACCTCTATGATGAATGCTAGATGTAAAAAAAAACCCACTGCACATATGGATTAGGGTTTTAAGACTAGAAACTGGTACTGATGCTGCCATTGGTAACTTCCACGTGAAAATGCAAATTTCCTGGTTGTATATAGCAACAATACTCTGGATTAAAGAAGAACTCCAGGCAGAAATAGTCTTAAGGTGCCCATACACCTTACAATTATCGGACGATAATCGTATGCGATCGACTTTTCGTCCGATAATCGTATGTGTGCATTGCATTGTCCGACCGACAATACTGTACAATCGTACGACTTTTGACGGTCAAGCATGTTTGAAAACTTTGCTAGATCGTACGATTGTCGTAAGGTTGCTGGCGTTTCCGTCCGTCAAAAGTCGCACGATGTACACTGCGCTTGCGCTAACGAAAATACGGCAAATCAATTACCGCATTTCGTCCAGGTGCTTTTGGTTAATTACGGCTAAATGATTCTTGCGATCATCGGGGCAGGATGGGGCTGCCGTACGAAAATCGTACGACTATTCGATCATCGGACGAAAAGTTTCGTCCGATAATCGTAAGGTGTATGGGCACCTTTATCCCTTGCAATGGGCCTACCCTAGCAGGCTGTTAGACTGCCCCCCCCCCCTCCTCTGCTCCAGCGATGGTATGTCCCTCGGTGTCCTAACATCCTTTACAGTGTATAGAACGTGGCGACTCACAGGCCCTTAGACTGCCGAAGCGGAGGAGGAGACAGGCTTCAGGGACCAGTCTAAAAGACAGCCTTCTCCGAGGTCCAGGTGAGTATAACTTTATTATTTTCGTCCCTACATAAAAATTAGCACTTAACCCTTGCAGTGCGGGGGCAGCACCACTACAAGGGTTAAGAATATTTCCGCCCCAGTTCTTCTTTAAGCATGCGTCAAGTGAAGTCAGAGCGCCCAGAAAGAGCGGTCAGCAATCTCACACTCTCTCCACATTATCTGTCCTGTGACGATCGTGTCACATTTTCCCGTCATAGTGCATTGTATCAGCGGTGTCACATGGCTGTATTTTTGCTCAAATTACTCAGTAACTTCAGTTATCAAATCTACATCTTTATTATTATTATTATTATTACTATTATTACAGAAGCACCGTGACATGTGATCAATGTATTGCTTCAGGCCTCGGCCTTCCTTTCACACTCCCTCCTCCCGCCTGCTACAGGAATATGGAAAGTTCCCTACGGTGACGTCTTTGCAGAGCGATTTCATAACTCAGAGGGTGGCTGTATCTGAGCCATGACCCCTTTTTATCTGACTACTGGACTGTTGTCAAACAAGAGATAGGACTTTGACATCTGGAACCTATATACATACAGACGTTCAATATAGTTTGTCAGCACGAGAACTGTACAGAGATTGGCTGTAATACCGAACCATAAATAGCGTTCGAAACCCCATAAGTAAGGCGGTGGTGGCGTCCACAGCGCCCAGCCAGATTCTGTGATTTCTCAGATGCGGTTAGGAAGATGAAAGTAAATCTCTGACTAGAGCTATTGGAGACACCACTATACTGCTCGGCATGAAGTCATTGATGATTTACCTCTTTTTCTTAAGCTGGCCATACACTGATCTATAGAGCAGATTCCTCCATCAACACTTAGTCCTGGTTTCCACCTAGGAGTTTTTGAGCAGGTCAAAAGGCGCTTTAAACTGCCCAACACAAGAAATCTCATGATGGCCCTGGTTCACACCCGAGCATAAAAACGGCCGAAAAGGTACAGGAGCTTCTTTGGGCAGTTAAAAGCTTTTTTTTGCCCCATAGACTTCATTGGAAATGGGCAAAAATGCGTAACAGAAGCATGTTGTACATTTTTGTGAGCGTTTTTACGCATTTATACGCGCGTTCTTCCATTGCCCACAATGGTTTATGAGCTGTCAATCAAAACGCGTGTCCTCATGTATGCGCGTTAAAACACGCATATAAATGTGCACAACGCGCAAATATCTACATGCTGTTAACGTATAAACACGCAAAAACGGTGCCGCCTAGGTGTGAATCCAGCCTTAGGAGTGTGTCAAACGAGGAATCCCGCTGTTTGCACTGTATTTTGCTGCTCCTTTAATCAGCT